GAGTCCTGGCTTCTTTCTGGCTGGTCAAGGGCCCTCCAGGGCTCTCACAGGGAACTGCAAAGCAACATGGCACAGCGGGAAAAACTCACGGGCTTTGACAGACCTGAGTTCCAACACTAACCCTACGGCTAATCAGCCGAACCATTGTGGGGACGTCACTTCCTTTCCCTGAGCTTCCGTTTCCTTGCCTGCAAACTGGGGTGTTACCCACTGCTCTGCAGCTCTCAGCACACTTCCCGACACTTGGTGAGCGCCCACTTCACCACTCACCTCAGGTTTACTAAGGAACACTTTGACCCTTTCCCCTTGGGACCCTGGAACCGATCCACACCTTTGAGGCCATTTCTAATGGGCCTGGGTTCCACGGAAGCCACATGCGGTTCTACCAGCCTGGGCCCACGAGCGCAGCGCCCCATGGAACGTGGAAGATCTCGCGGGTAGTCCTGCTCAATCACTCACCAGTCGCACACGCAACCTTGGACGAATCAGCGGGCCTCCTTATCTGTTCACCAAAGATATGAACCTTATTCAAGCCTTGTCCCCGTACTTTTACTTTATCAACAAAATCAAGGTGAGCGCGTGTCTCCCTGCCCTCCCCACCTCCAGCTGCAAACACCTTCATCTCCTCTCTGCCTGTCCTCGCCCCCCTCTTCAAACCTCCTCCTCCCCCGAATTACTTCATTTGGTGGCACACGCACGCACTTGTCCCCCAGGCCACCTCTGTCCATCCCCCAAACCTAAGTAAGCACCAAGTTCTGCCAGTTTTACACCTGAGATGTCTCACTCTCCCTCCATCTCACTGCCATCATCCTTGTTCAGGTCACTGTCACCTCTTGCCTAGACTGACTCCTAACTGGTCTCCCCACCACACGATTATTTCGAACCGAGAGTCATTTGGTCTTCTCCCTCCAGATCACTCCTGTTCCTTCTGTCTCCCCATTTCTGTTCATGGTGACATCAGCCTTGCCACTGGGTTGCTCTCGACTGTTCCCTCTCCTGTAAATCTTTCCTCTGGCATGAATGCCTGTCTGATGGATCCAGTCACTTCTGAGCTCCTTTCTAACTCTTCCTTTGCCCAGCACACACGGAGTGCGACCACGTGCCAGCACGAGCAAGGCAATGTGTGTATAAGATAAAGAAGCAATCCCAGTCCCAACCCTCAAATTCAGGCCAGTACCAGACCATCTCAGTACCGCAAAAGCCTTTGACTGGTCTGTCCATCCTAACCCCTCACTCAGAAAAGCGATCTTCTGAGCTCACCTCTTGACTGTGCCCAGAAACCCTCTACCTGACCATGGCATACTTTTCTAGATTTATCTCCAAGTCCACCTTCTTGACCCTTGCCTGCCCAAACTGGTCCCCTCAGGCTTCCGGACCTGTTTGCACTCGCCTCGTTTCTTACTCACTCGGGCTGCTGGCCGCACCTGGAAACTGTTGCCTATGCCTCTCTGGTCACAGCGACCAGTTTGGACACCGGCTCTTTCATCAAGAACAAAACCCAAGCAACGGACAATCATTTCTTTCAATAGTCTCGATGCTGTCACCGCTCACGGCTTCCTCCTTTCATTACTTTAATCTCACACATCTATGTCTTTTCTCCCCAATTCAGGGTGTAAATTCCTCAAGGAGGCAATTTCTTCCACTTCTCCCCGTTCCCCACAACAACGAGCAAGCGGTAAGGTTATGTGGGCTCAGTCTATAAAACTGTGCTCACTGACTTGGCCAGTACACGCGAGGCCCTGGGTCACGTGAGGATGGACAGTGATCATATGAGCGAGTCCCGTCAACACATATGGACACAGACAGTACCTTCTGCCACCTTCCCACTTCCTGTCTGTATATCCACGTACGCGCACCCTACTCGAGTGATGCGCTCTTTTGTCCACGTCTACATTCTAAACTGCTCCTTCTCCAGCCTTCTGTTTCTCTTAGTGACCGTATCCATCTGCCAGGCACTCAGGCAGGGACCCAGAATCATCCACCCATGTTTTCTCTAGCTCACGTCCCACAGCTAAACACCCACTGAGCCCTGTGTCCTTTACCCCCTAACCGTGTCTCAAACCCACCCCCTCTCTCTCCCGACTACAGCCCTGGGTCATATTAGCAACTTTTCTGCTTTATGGGAAAGTAATCACCTCCTCAATGGTTTGCCAGTCTTCAGCAATATCCCCCTCCAGCGTGCAGAACTGACCCCTTCACTTTGTGGACTGAAACTGCCCAACAGACACCCTTGGCCTGGCCTACAGGCCAACAGCCAAGCCCTCTGCACACCAGCTGTGCGAGTCCTCTTGCCGCCCCTCACTTCACCTTTCTTACCTCTGAGATACCAGACCCCATGTGGTTCCCTGAACAAACCTAGATGTTCCCACCTCCGTGCCTTTGCGGATGCTGTCCCAGTCTCCTGCCAAGCCCTTCCCCCACAGTCTTGGCCTGGCTAACCCCTCCCCTCACGCTTCACCTCCTCTGGGAAGCATTCTGTGATCTCCTCTGCCCACCAAGGCTAGGTTAACAGTTTTTGTGCTTCCATCAGCCAGCGCATAACAATCACCACACTCAACACAGTGGGCTAAAACGATCTATGCACACATCGCAATCACCAGTGCCTCCCCAGAGCCTAGCACAGGACCTGGGACACAGTAGCGGAGCGGAGAGAGTTGGTTAAAGGCGGGAAGCAAGACTAACTTCCCTTCCCTAGGCTGGTTTCCTCTGGTCTTCCCCTGACCCAAAATCTCAGGTCGGCCTCGCTGCTTCACTACTTCCACCTAGGGGTGAAAGGAGGTAACTGCACTTCTTTCACCATTCAGCATTTAATTTGATTCCATTGAATGAGATGGGAACACAGGCGAGGTAACAGTTGACTCCAGCGTGGGTAGAGAAAGAGTGGCAGTCAGGGGAGGCTTAAAATGGTGAGTGAGCTCTGACCTGGGCCACACAGCATGAGAAAGAGATCTCTAGGTGGAGGAAAACGGCATTCCAGGCAATGGGGGCAACAGGCAGAGGGTGTCAGAGTTTAGGGCCTATGTGCAGGTGAACTCAGAAAGGAGGGGAGAGTTAGAAAGTGCAAGACCTGGGACCCCAAACTTTAGCTTTTAAGCCACTTAAAGAGGTTAAAAAATTAATTTTTTTTCCACCCAAAGACTCTTAATTGCGAGTAACATAACCAGATCTGCATTTAAAAAAGACAGCTCTTGCTGGAGTGTGGAAAGATTATAGAGATGGGAGGCGGGAGTGAGAGAGGCAAAAGCAAGGCATTAGGAAGATGGTATTTTCATAATTCTCCTCTCATTTTCCACTTGCTGCCCCATGACCTCAGATTGAACACATCCAACCTGAAACTCCGCCTCCTCAAAACCAAGTGCTTCAACATAAACGTGATTTATTTCCACATTTTGAGATGTTCTTATATCTTGGCTTCTTCATGGGCCTTGAAGTCACAGAATTTTATAACAGATCCCACCACAGAGCTTTGCACACTGAAAATGCTCAATGACAATTGAATGGAATGTCTCTCGGGGTCCCCCAGACCCTGGGATTATAAGAACAGTAAACCCCAGTAGTTAAGAGTAAGGACTCTGAGTCAGAGGGCCTGAGTTCAAATCCTGCCATCAGCCACTTTCCTGTGTGAGACTGGTCTCATTAAGTGACCCATCGAAACCTCAGTTTCTTTGTTCCTAAAATGGAAATTACAACACACAGCACCTACCTCAAGGGCTGGTGATAAACATCTGTGAGTAGAAAGCACACAGTAAATCCCCACTAAATACTACTGTCAACTACTTATAACATTATAAATTCAGTGTCTACCAGGCACAGGTCACGCACGATGCAAGGCGCTTCCCACACCCTTGGGAGCACTGGATTCCAAGGCATCAGAGATGGGGCTAGGGGACCTTTTAGTGGAACATCATTTAGTCCAGTGGTGGTTCTCACACGTGTGAGTGTGTATGTGTGTGATACTCTGGGCAATGTCTGCAGATATTTTTGATCTTCACAACTGGGGAATGAGGACACTGCTGGCGTCTAGTGAGTAGAGGCCAGGGATGATACCCAACATCCTACAACACACAGGACAGCTCCCCCCACACCAAACCAAGAATGATCAGACCCAATATGTCAGTAGTGCCAAGGCCGAGAAACCCTTCTCTAGTGAATCCTCCTCCCCATCGTCCCACTTCTGGAGCATTGGCTATCCGGATCCCCCATGAATACTTTCAGTAAGGGGGGTGTGTGTGCTCTATTCCTCCAGGGGCAGCACCTGCAGAGGTCCTTCCCCACCTGCCCTACACACGGCAGGTATTAGAACCCATTTTAATAAGCCTAGCAGCAAAGGACGCCGGAAAAGGAAGAGCATCCATCCCCCATTGTTCAATTGCGTGCAGTTTGTGTTTTCAACACACACACACACACACACACACACACACACACACACACACACTCTTTACAAATCCAAACGTCCCACGCCCCAAAAATTGTTGGTTAGAGATGGCGTTCAAAAAAAAATTTTTTTTTCTAGGACTCTCATACATACTGAAGGGTTTGCACACTTCTAGGAGGACCTCAGATCGGCCGCGGTCCTCTGACAACGACCACAAAAGAATGTGTAGGATTTCTCGGGGGAGTGAGCCCGTGGGCCGTGACCTCTGCGCGCGGAAGACGCCCACCCCACTCCCTCGCCTCTGGCTTCGCTCTCCCGCCCCCGGATACCCGGCCTGCAAGGCTACTCGGGCCCGGCCTCGGAACCCGGCCGCCAGGCGCGTGCCCACGCCGTGCCCCCCTATCCCGGCCCACCCGGCGGCCGAAGAATCCGGCCCGGGGCCTGTCGCCGGCGCCCACACCGGCCGGCCCCAGCCCGCTCGCCGAGGCCCGCGCGCGTCCCCTCCTGGCCCGGCGCGGCCTGGGCCTCCACCGGTGCAGGCCCGCGAGCGCCCGCGGCCCGGCCAGGCGAGATCAGGCCTGCCGCGGCCTACCCCGTCGGGCGCAGCCAAAGGCCCCCGCCTCACCTGGAAGCGGGCGGGCGGGCCCGGGTCTGCTCCGGGGCGGGCGGGCGGCGGCGACCC